ACATTTAAAGAGATCAGAATTTTTAATGTCTAAAACATTAGGTCTTTTTAGGATGCATATGTAACAAAATTTTGTAGACATCTGCTAACATGCTTCATAAGCTATTCCTACAAAAATATTGACGTGCCTAAGTCACATCATCCATTAATTCATGTGCTACTCTGCAGAACAGAATTTGCAATGCTTTGAAATCATTAAAATGTGTGAGCTACATAGAAAGGTCGCAGAAAAAATACATAACTATGAAAACCTACATATCTAGGAGTGCAATACTTTTTTAAAAATAACATTAAAATATTGCTGTACTTATTGCAGCATATTTTCATGACTGAAATCCATATTTGAAATTATTTGCTCATAAAAACTTAATAGGTTAAACGTAAATCAAAATAGTAAGCCACGACTGTTTCTCTTATAACTAGTTGAATAACTTGCTTGATGAAATAAATAACACCTACCTTTTAGTGTCATCAAGTTGTGACCAGGTAGTATCCATGAAAGTCATTCTCTAGTCAGTGTTGTTAAATATCTACTGACTTCACCTATTTGAAATAGATTTAATACTGTGTACACAGTATTTTCCTAAGCTACTCTATCATTACACAGTGAGCTCTAGCACACACCATCATTGTTCAATTGAGGAGACAATTTAAAATACAAGCATAAAAATATGTTGTAAGAAACGAACTGACTTGGTTTAATTCTCTATCTCATATAAAACTTAACAAACCATTACAAGTCGTCTTACTGTACTGTACAAACATTTTATATAATGCGGCCAGCCAAGGTTAGGCAGACTGTCCTAGAATTTTGTATTTTAAAAAACCTCAATCAGTAAGAAATTATAGCCTGCATTTAATTTTTCAGAGATGAGTTTCAAGGTAAAGACAGACATATTATTAGCATTAGTTCACTTGTTCATGACAAGTAACAATAGCCTGCAATACAAAAACCAGTAATACGACCATCATATCACAAGCCTTTCAGTACTTTCTTCCCAGGTAGTGCCTATATACTGAATACAATCCATTAGACTGCACATTTATACTCATTTCAATTCTTCCAGAGGAGTCAATCTATCATAACACCTATTAGAAGCAAACAGTGTATGATAGCAATAAGGAATATCAATATACTGTTTTGAAAACAAAAGGACCTACGACCCTGTAGTAGATATGTCCTATACTGTCATCTTCTGGTTTCTTTAATATTTGTATTTTGTGCTCCTTGCCAAAACAAGCCAGCATCTATTTTCTTTGTAGGTGGTGGGTATCAATATGAGCAGTGCCCTTGTAATTCAGAGAGTCCTCTGTATCGATTGTCTTTGCAAGTGGAACAAGCAACGAACAACACTCACAAGGCATAGACGGCCCAGATTTTGAACAGATTTTACTATCATAGCAGCAATCACTTCAGAAGGAAACGTAAGCAGTAAAAGGCACAATGTCACAGCAACATTTCAGTTTAACTTTCCTTCTGGGGTAACAAAATACTTGGATGGATGCATCACTTTATTTTGTCACTGAGTTTACACAGGCAGAAGGGAAACTTACAGACAAAAGCCTGGGATTTTCAGAAACTGCCTTCCTCTTCTAAAAACCCCTGGGAACCAAAGGAAGCAAATTTCTCATTTGTCCTCAGAAGGTGTTAATTAGACATGACTTAACATTTTCAAAATCTTTTTAGCTCAGCTATACTTACGTTGGTATTAATTGGGACTTAAGTGGATGGTGCCCACCTTCTCCATAAATTAGATTTCTCTCTGGACTAAAATTTTGCATTAATCATGGTTCAAAAGTTTATTAGCGTGTCAACCCCTGAGGCCTTTTACAGAAGTACTGATTTATGGTAAAGTTCAACAGAACCATATGGCAATACATTTACTGATCACTAAAAGTCTTGAATGAACTCAAATTAGGACTACAGTTCAAGAACAAATTTCTTTATATAAAGATGTTTCATATACAAACATCTTTAATAAATGCTAATAGGTTTCTAAACCATGCCTTATTTTACTTTGATTGCCACTATCTTTGGAAGTCTGTGGATCACTATGTTCCTGGCAGAGTTATAATACTTGACTAATATTTTCCTTAGAATCCAAAGAGTAAGTCAAACAGTTGACTAAAAAAGGATTATTCATTATTTAGCATTCAAAGAAACAATTTTATAACATATTTAACAGCTGATTTAACAGATGAAAAACATGCTAATCCAGTTCTGACATTGTTTTATGAAAGTCGCTATACGTGACACAAGCCCATACCCTTTTCCTACAGTTTTCTCTTATTCACGAGTAATGTGGAGGCACCAGGTTCAGTGAAGCCATCCTTCCCCTTTATTCAGCAGTTGTGAGACCACATCCTAAAGCCTAATTTTGAAATGAGTGCAGTTCTGGGCTCCCCAGTAGTACAGAGACTACATAGACATAATGGACCGTGTAGAGGGCTGCCAAAAAGGTCAGAAGGCGGAGCACATGACATAGGCGGGCAGAGTGAGAGACATGGGTCTGTTCAGCCAGAAAAGAAGGCAAAGGGGAGACCTTGTTGCTGTCTACAACTGCCTCATTGGAGGATACAGTGAAGATGGAGACAAACTCTTCTTGGAAGTGCATAGTGGTAAGACAGGGCACAAGTTGGAGAATAGAAAATTCTGATTAAACTTTAAGGAAAAAAAAATTTTGGACGAGGTTGGTCAAGCACTGGAACAGGCTACCTAGAGAGCTTGTGGAATCTATCCTTGGAGGAGTCTGAGATTCACCTGGACAACCCAAGCCATGGGCAACTTCATCTAACTGGACCTGCTTTGGGCAGCAGGTCAGACTAGATGACCTCGGGAGGTCCCTTCCAATCTAAGTTATTCTATGACTCTATGAAGAGTGCCAATGAAAGCACTTCAGTGTAACTGTATTCACTGATGAATGCTACAAGCCATGAAGCTGTAAGCAAATGCTCAGTTGTTAAAATAACAATAAATACAGCCATTTTCTACTTAAACAATCTAGCTTTGCGTAACAGTGGTTATGTCTATTCTACCGTATTTAAATGAAGACTAAAATGTCAGTGTGCAAATGAAATAATCTGTGTTGTCATCTATACATACATAACGTGATTTAAGGCAATGGAACCAACTCCAGAGAGCTATTCATTCTGTGTGGAGAGACTCATCAGACACGCTTCAAAGGTAAGTTCATCATATGATGCTCAAAGATAGGTTCATATATGAAGAGTGGCTAAGGACACTGCCTTTGTCTAGGTTGGAGAAAAGGATGCTGAGGGGCGACCTCATCACTCTCTACAGCTTCCTGAGGAGGGGAAGTGGAGAGGAATGTGCTGATCTCTTCTCCCTGGTACCCAGTATGAGGACACATGGAATGGTTCAAAGCTGCGCCAGGGGAAATTTAGACTGGACATTAGGAAGCATTTCTTTACCGAGAGGGTGGTCAGACACTGGAACAGGCATCCTAGAGAGGTGGTCGATGCCCCAAGCCTGTCAGTGTTAAGGAGGCATTTGGACAATGCCCTTAACAACATGCTTTAACTTTTTGGTCGGCCCTGAAGTGGTCAGGCAGTTGGACTAGATGACCAATGTAGGTCCCTTCCAACTATTCTACTCTATTCTATGCTATGCTATGCTATGCTATGCTATGCTACACTATGCTATTCTATATCCACAAACCCACAAATTTAAACAGCACAGTGAAAGATGTTTAGATTATGCAGGAACGTATTATTCATAGCCCCCAGGTGTCGACTGTGAGTGAAGTTGGTATTTCCATACACAAAGGCTGAGAAATCAAGCTTTGTACAAAAGTCACACTGTTGGCCACCCCTCCCTCTCTCTGCATCTATGTGCTCATTACATTGCAAAGTCTGTACTGGTTGCAATAGTAACTTGTTACTCCCATGCTGTTCAAATGTGCATGCTGGTCCCCATTCATGACCCTATGTCCTCATCTTCACATGCTTAACAGATGTCTCTGAATAAGAAAATATAGGTAGTGGCCAGAAATAGCACTTCACAAAGGATTACTCTAGCCTTACACAACCCATGAATATTTTCTCAGAATCATCTTCAGTAATTTTCTTAGTGTTAATATTGATGAGACTTTAACTCTTACTATTAATATTCATGAAGTACGATAACATAATAGCTTAGTTTGGCAGCAAACAAAAAATGCTATCTGCAAACTCAGAACGAAGTGAAGAGCTAAATACAACCTCAGATGGCTCTGGAGTCACTAGATCTTTCAGGAGTGAAAGGGAAGGATAACACACGGATTATCTATTCTGTGCAACAGTGACATAGTTGTACCATCAATAAGGTCTGCAGATGGATTGTTGTATATGTAAACTGAATTTGTATCATTTTGTAGAAGACTGGAAACTATCAGTAAAATAATGCTACAAAATAATGATTACCAAAAAATTTTCCAGTTTTACATTCTCCAATATCCTATCTACTTATACAAATTAGTGCAGCAACAACAGTAAATATATAACAGAAGTATTTGTTTACCAACATGCATTACATTAAGGAAAAAATTCAGTAAAGCAAGGTAACTTTCTCATTTAGCTCACAGCAAGACATGTTCTTATTTAAATAAAGTAACCACACAACAACACATCCAATCTTCTGAAATAAAAATCAAAGTTCTAAATCCATATATGGATCTCTAGACATTTACAAAATATTCTTGCTAATGTATATGTAGCTTGTTTTTCCTTTCATTCTTTATATTAATACAATGAAACTACTTATTTCTTAGCAGGATACCATTATTATGAATGTTGGTATTATATTGGGGGGGGGATTAAATGTGCAGTAAAGCTGCATCTGTGTCAATCTGCCTTTTCAGTTTATATACCACGGTATTGCCTGCAGTTAAAAACAATCATAGCAAAAAGAGCTGAGAAATTAAAAAAAAAAAGATCAAATGTCACCAGCATATATCCAGATTATTTTCTTAAGCACATGTCGAATACTGTTTAAATGCTTACCTTAACTATCCCACGGATATGCATTTTTGCTATCATCTCTGCAGTGTAAAGAAACATCAACAGAGTATCAAGAGCAAATGTCACATATTGGAGAGGAGGATAATGCTCAAAGGTCTTTGGAGTGTTCATACAAACAGAAATAACACTGATGATGGCACAGATTCGTAGTAAAGAGTGTACCCACTGCAAAAAAAAAAAACACCACCAAAACAAAACAAACAAATAAACAGGACAATAGGAGATTGCATTGATGTTCAAAAAAAGTTCAAATATTTAGCTTCATCCAAAAATAAGCACTCCTGATTTTATTTTTATTTACACACACACACATATATGGGCATATATACACAGATATAATTTTATTAGTTAATTTGGGAGATTGCGTAATTCAGAAACTAAGAATTAAGAGACAGGAAACAGAGTTAGGATTCTATCATTTCTACTTTGCAGCTTTTGTAATCCCGTTTCTTTTCAAATGGCAACTTGTCGCATTTATGTGCAGACAATATGTGGAATTAGTTGATGTTATAAATTGGGTGAATACATTAAATGAAAATATCTGTGGAAAATTTTAGTTCCACATTTAGATGAACTGATTTTTAAATCAGGTTACAATTCCAAAAATTACCTAAGAGGCATGAGGATTAAAAGCATCCTTCCATTTATGAAAAGAATAAATGTAAAAGAGACCATGTCACAGAAAGCTGCTTCTTAATACCAGGATTCACTTTTGTTTCAAACAACTTTTGTTGCTATAAGAGACCAGGTCCTTCCTCTGACTACTTAGGTCTCAGTCTCATAATCATTAAGGCTGATATTCAGTGCCAGTCACAGCAGGAGGTCTAACAAAAAAGCAGAATGTATCAACACAAGGGTTTAAGGTTGGATTTTTTTCTTTTAAATCAAAACACCATTGAAACATCTTTAAGCCAGACAAGTGTAATGAATCAGAGTTGCTAAGGCTCTATCTATCAAAACAAGAAGAAGAATATAAGACGCTTCAGCAAGAAAAAAAAAAATCCAAACAAAAAACACTTAAGGAAGTGTACTTATAGTGATTTTTCATCTGAGGAAAAATTCTACACTCATTTACACCAGCTCAGACCTTTTGATATCAAGAAGACTTAAGAACACTCACCTAATTTAATACTCACTGCATGCCCACCTAAGTGTAATGATATTTGACCTGAATTGAATAGCTCTATCATTTGCATACTCTGAGCCCAAATTAATAATTTGGAAGTGGAAGGCAAGTGATGAACAATCATTTATGTACCTTTAATACCCACTTCGTTTTAAACTTTGTTTCAAATGAAAAATTTAACATAAATATTAAAGTGTGACTGATATAAAAAACTTGTCTGCCCCAGTAAAATGTTGATATTATACATGCTAAGCAATATAAAACTAGTCCATCAGCATGATAAGAAAAAAATTATTTCATCAAAAAGCCATGTACTGTGTGCTGAAAAACATAAATAAATAATAAATAACCCAGTCATAACCCAATACATATTTCTGCAATGACATTTTGAGCTTATTACAGCAGTCAATTCGAAAATTCTATTTAAGATTATTTAGCATGAATTAATATACAGGTTTTGTCTTGTAAATGATTTAGGTGTTAAAACTCAACAGCAAAGATGAAGGGATCTAGCATCCATACCCCAAATCAGATGGCAGTTCCATTAAATGAATGTAATGCTAACAACATGTATTATTTCAGAATATTTGACTTTTAGAAGGTAAAAATTTATACACTACTTTAAGAGAAAAGCGAAAATGCCTTCTCTGCAAAAGTACGTATCATTCAACATATAGAAATCTCGGATGCACATTGACTGCTGAATAAACAGTTTAATCATAGTAACCATATTTACATGGTAAAGGCATTTTCTTAATAGTGCACATTCTATTAATAACTCCATTCCCAAAGAAGCTTTCCCCAGTTTCAAGTTGCCAGACACTTTTACACCTGTCTATTATTGCTTAGGGCAGGTTGTAGTTCAAATGATACTAGAAAAATGTGAGCTGTACTTCAAAATAACCAGTCAAAATACACTTTTATATTAATAAATGATGTAAAAGGAGAGATTGGAAAGTCAAAAGGAGAACTTTTTTTTTTATGTTAGCTGACTGCTGGCTACCACTTTAGCAACGCTCCTTTTGACATCCTTTTCAAAAAGTCATTTTATGAACTTCTTATTTCAATAAACACATTAGGAACCAGAGACATTGAAAGGATGGCTGTTTAAAAAACAATCAGTAGATTAACTGGTTGGCAAACACTGCTTGATCATCCCCATCAGTCTGCAAAAACCAAAAGAAACCTTTTTATTTAGTTTCGGACTTTTTGCAAAAAATGAACTAGTAGATTATCAACTGTAGCTCAATACTTGTTTCTGACAAATATCTATTTCAGAATGTGGAATTCATATTTCAACAATACAAGCTACATTTAACTTTAAATTAGTAACTACAGAAAGAAATACCTACTGGTTTGTTAATCCACAGAATATCTGCATTGTCTGACAAAGATTCATCAGGACCGAAATCTGTAACTGGCTGGGCTTCCACCCTTGAACTTTGTTTCCTTTTTAGCATCCTGAAGTTAACTTCTGTTGTACATAATCATGAAACCTCCTTGGGGAGAAAAAAAGACATCAATTCACTAAAACCATTTTATAATGCATTTTGAACAGTTTTATAGATATCCTAAAGCGTTTTGTTTTCATGCAAACTGCTTTTGTACTTACTGATTAACAGGATCTTCATTTTATTAAAAAGCTTTGCCTATATAAATCACTGACATGACTCTTGTTAGTTTACAAAAATTTACATAAAGGTATGCAATGCAAACAATTACCAGAAACTTAGCAACACAGGCAGAAAAATTGTACCAATATGCAAAGAATGCTATTGCTGTGAACTTAAACCCAGAGTAATCATTGGATGGATTTGACCGGGAGCCATTTAATTTAATAGTGACATTTCCATTTATTACACTAGGCTAAGACAAAGCCCAACAAGCCAAAGGCAAACAGGCAATGTTAAGCAGCCAACAGATGTTAATGTTCTTTACTGAAATCAGAAAAGCCTTTTTATTATATACTACTATTAACATGTATTTTTCTAACTTTTTTTTTTATGTTAGCAATTATCTATCCAAGAGCCAGACAGCTGGCTGTCTCTGGGGTTTGTGTTGGCACATGGGAACGCTGAGGAAAAGGTGTCATTTCCACAAGGTCATGCTGAGCCTGGACATTCCTGTGTGGGTGGCACAGATTGAGCCTTCTACATGCTCAGCAATGTGAGTCGCAACTAGTGGACACACCATGAGAGCAGAAAGGTGGGCTAGATGTTACTATTGCCTTTCCCGCAGACACAGATCCCAAAAACATGAAGAAGATACGCTCTCCTAAGGAGGAACAGTCTGCCCAGTTGAGGGCGCAGCACTGGCACAAGAGCTATCATTCAGGAAATACAATCCCTTAGGGACTTTTTTTCAGGAAAGTGAAGGAGAAGGAGAAAGCTAGATCTTGGAACCTTGTTCTGTACCTTTAGTCTGGATCAAGCGTGGTTTGTAGGTGACACTAAACTTTTGAAAAGTTTGTCAAAGCTAGTATAAAATAGAATCATAGAATGGACTGGAAGGGACCTTTAAAGAACCTCTAATCCAATCCCCACGTCGTGGGCAGGGACATCTTTCACTAGAACAAGTTGCTCAAAGCCCCGTCCAACCTGACCTTGAACATTTTCAGTGATGGGGCATCCTCAACTTCTCTGGGCAGCCTGTTCCAGTACCTCACCACCCTCATCGTAGAGAATTTCTTCCTTATGTCCAACCTAAATCTTTCAGTTTAAAACTGTTGCCCCCTTCTCCTGTCACTACAAGCCCTGGTAATTACAGGCACAAGTATCACAGCGATGACTGCACCATGAATGCAAGAGACACCATCCTCGATTAGCTGAAGGAACCAGTGGGCTCAGGGCGGCAGAAGTACCCACGTGCTGGGTCACAGCTAGCCTTTTCACCACACAGGCTGCTGCTTCATATCCATACACTATGCCTCTGTACATCATTGGCTGTCTCTTCTTTTAGCTATTATGGCAAACATAACCTATTAATCTTCTTCCAAGTCCCTCAGAGTCTACTCCTACTCTATTTTCTCTCTTTCAGATTGAAGAGGTCAGCTTCTGTCTCTGTAATTCCCTTGCTACATTTTCAGAAGAGTGTTTTTGTGGTTTCTCCCATAATGTCTCTCCACACATGACAAGCTCCCTACATGAGCTCCCTGCAAGCTTCTACAAAGTTTTTTCCAGTACCTTCTTTTGTATCTGTCAGTAAACTAACACTCCTGATCATGATGACTGTGCCATCAGTACAACCCTGTGTTTTCCTGCCTATACCTGCCTATCTCATATCTCCTGTCTAATATTTAAAAATCAAGACTGAATCATTGGTCTATCTTTGTATAGAGCATAAAGCAACAGGGTCAAGGTCTTCGACTGATGCTCCCAGCTGGAAGACCTGACATTATGCAATAATTGATTTTTTAAACTAAACAGAAATTATAAAAAGGCACAAAATATGGGACAACTTCTGACAGCTTTATGTTGGTCAGTCACAGCAAACTTAGCACAAGTGAAACTGCTAAGCTGTCACTAAAAATATACAAGTATTGTAAAAGGAACATTATAAATTAAGTCTTTCTCTAACAAATGAAGAAAAGAAGACCAAAATAATATGCATGCAAGTTGTACGTTCTCTTAATCCTCATGCTCAAGCTTCATGCTCCGACTTCTTTCTTATAACTGAATTCACTACTTCCTCCTCTTAGCAATTTTTCCTGCTTTCTCCTATTTATTTCTACGCCTAACGTATTGACCTATTTTCTCTGCTTGGACCAAAGCACAACTAGAAACGCTTGAAGCCTCAGAGATGTTGGTGTACTTTTTGAGGTCATGAAGCCTTAAAATGGCTACATTTAGCCCAGTGATAAGAAATTTACTGCAATGTCTTGAGAGTTGCATATCTTAAGAACTTCGGAGAAAAAAAGATGCTTTCTAAACATCTCTTGCAAATGTGTTTCTTTGGAAACTGTTACTCAAAAGTGAATTAGCAAAATAATCTTTTTATGTTTACCATTTCTGGTAAAGGCTATGACAGTACCCCTAGTACTCCTATCTATCCATAAGATAAGTACAATCAACAATTATGAGAAAAGGTTCAGGATATGAAACACTGACAAGCCATTACTGATCTTTTTTTAAATAAATGACACTCTAAATAACAAGCTATGGCCACGTGGGGAAAAAAGTAGATAATTACCAACTGGCTATAGAGACGTTCTGGGTTTCTTATGCTTTTCGCAGTATTACTTACTTATACATCTGATGTGTAGGAAGACTAGCCATATCCTTCTAATGAAATTCCCATTTACCCTTTTACCCAATGCCTCTTCTTTTTTCTTTTTTAATTGATCTGGGCACAGAAAATAACATGAACTTTATATGTCCATAATGGATTCAGTTCACATACCTAAATGTTGTGACTAAAGAGATCAGAATTCTTTTTTTTAAGAGGAGGCCCTGAATAAACAAATCGTCATGTATATAAATCCAATGGAAAGGGGGAAACGTTTATGGGATCTAAGAACTAGCTTGTTTCTTTCACTTGAAATGAGCAGAAATGCCCACAGAAAATGCAGAATAAAGACCACAAGCCAAGAATCTTCTGGAAACGGTCTTCAGCAAGATTATTCAAAGTATAGCACAGTTGCTCTCAAGCCGTTATGCAATTTTTTGTTGTAGTTCTCACTACTTTTATTTTTCCAGGGAACACACGGGCTTTTACATATGTCTGTTACTGTAGAGCAACACAAAGCCCAGTGCAGCCCCAGGACTCTGCCATGTGTGTAAAGAATTTTAACTCTTGGATTACAATCCCTTTTGCACCTGTTTCTACACAGGGGAACCAGCTGAAAGACGAAGAGGAGGAAGGGAGCTGTGCACCAGCTCCTTCCAGCACGTGACACGCAGTGAGCACCACACCAAGCTGTGCTAATGGGGAGGCTGTAGTCGTCCCTAACCCCGACTACAAAACCACCCCTGCAGTTCCCACATTGATTCCGACACACATCATTAAGTCTTTCTTTGATCACAACCTGTTATTAACATGAAAGGCTTAATACATTCTCTAGGACATATTTCTAGCTCCAGAGTTTTTAAGAAATATTGGGTGCAGGGCAAAGACAGGTTTTGAGGCAGGAAAATATCATGGAGTGTTGTGGCTACATCCGTTTCACACTTCTTTGCGGTATTTTCTTTACAGTAGTAATGAAAATCCACAGCGCAGGTGTCAACCTTCTCAGAGAGGAATATAGTGTCTTTGCTTTTAAATGTCTCCCCTATTTTTAGAAGCAAAGACAAATTAAAGGAAGAAAACTAAACAGGAAATTACTCACATACTCTTGAGCCCCTTCAGATTCATTTTTTCAGCCTTTTCTCTCCCGCTCTCTCCCTGAACTCGCATGTATATTCAGCAACCACTACACTGTCTAAACCACCACCACCCACCAAATTTTCAGCTTCTGCTGAAATCAAAGTATACTAGCACATTAGTTGGTCAACTTAAGACCCACTGTGCACTTGGGGAAAAAAAATCTGAAGAAGGTCTAATCCCAGTTTGTGATATCCACACTAACCAGATGACAATCCTGCTGATGGACATTTGCGCTTCCTACAAAAATCAAAAGACAAATTGAAAAACGTAGTTGATCCTACACAACACCAAAAGCTAAGAAATCTGTGTCTCATTTATGAAGCAAGCTCACTGTATACAGCATAATCTGCTCAAGAAATCTCTATCACAAAATCTCTATCATAAAGTCAGGAAAACATGATTATAAATGCTGTGGTAGACAAGAAAGCAATCGAAAAAATGACTTCACGGAAAAATTAATAGGAAAATAAAGCAGATATTCCTACCTACAACTTATGGAAGGAGTTTAAAAATCAGAATCAACAATATCTGGCTTCCAACATTCTTCTTTCTCAGTCTATTGACCGTCACCTGAGATCATGTGGGCACTGCCTGAAGGTCCTACCAGGGCTGGCCACCTACAAGCACTCTCTTCAATACCAATTCTCTTTGAAAATGTCAACTCCCCTTCCATCTCCTCCCAGAGCTGGGACACACAAAGTGGCACATACACTCCTAAGAGAATAATTACTTTTGAACCTTTTACTACCTGTGAAAGCTAAAATGGGTGACAGGAAGAGGACGTGAACACCCATACACGTAACATGATGACAAAACCCCATTTCCATACAATACATTAAAAAAACCCCAAAACTAAGGTAACTAAGGCTACCTTAAGAAGAAATTGCTCTTAACTGTAGCATGCATTATACAGTTATAGGAAAAATATAAGTTCTCATTCTTTCATCTCAATAGCCTTCTTCTTTCCCTCTTAGGAAATTGTCACCTGCTCCCTCCATCCCCACATTCTTCCATCCCTGCTTTTGGGTGCAATTACAGTTGAACAGCATTTTTCATGTACCAAAATATTTGAAGTAAGCAAGTTATACTCATGACATTG